CAGGGGAAGCGGGGTCCCGCGCCTCCCCGGCTTTGTCACAGCAAAGCCTCAGAGGTGTGGGACCCCTCTGCCTCCCCAGCTTTGCTCCAGGTGTCCCTGGTCTGCTGGAGACGGCCCCCAGCAGACCAGAGGCACCGGGAGCAAAGCCAAAGCGGCGGCGGGGTGCCGTGCTTCTGAGGCTTTGCTCTGGCAAAGCCTCAGAGGCGCGGGACCCCGCCGCTGCTGCGGCTTTGCTCCCGGTGCCTCTGGTCTGCTGGGGACCGTCTCCAGCAGACCAGGGACACCAGGAGTAAAGGAGGCGGAGGGGCGCTGGGGTATAAGACGAAACCCTATCTTTTAACTAAAAAATTAGGGGGTCGTCTTATATGCCCAGTCGCCTTATATGCCGGAAAATACGGTAGTTCTTAGTTAAGCAAAACTCCCGCTGATTTCTGTGAGCATTTGCCAGAATACAAACTTTTGTATTTGGCCTACAACAAAAGGCAATTCACTCCAGATGATCCTAGAGAACAGGGAACTGCACCTGAGGTGCCCGGAGGCTATTTATAGTGCCAAGAACTGATGCACCGCTAGATGAGACCCCCCATTAGAAGACGACACTCACATCCTCCAGAAAGTGTCCTTTTGGAGGTCTGTGAGCCCTGCATCTGAGCCAAGATCTTCCCCACTTTGACATACGAGAAAAAGTTCATAGACGTACCATTTCACAAAGGAGTCAACTCCAGATGGGCGCAACTGTGGGAGGTCCTTGCTGTCTTTGACCCAGATATGAACTTCCCCAGATGAGGGATTCTTTGGACCTGCCATTTCAGAAAATAAAATTGTTTTTAATCAAGTCCTAATAGCAGTCAGCAAGCAGAGTGCAGCCTCCTTCACTTAAGTGTGGAGGTGTAGATCCAGGGCCCAACTTTTTCTCTTACTTCCCACGACACAGAACATCTAGATACCAGCTGTGCTGGTGCACAGCTGCTTATCAGTTTGTTCCAATGAAATGCTCCTTACTAGGAGACACTGGACACAGCACTTCCTCACACGGGCCAACAGAAGGTGTTATTCCCCCTCTCCCACCCCTGCCGAAAAGCCATTTCATCAGGACAGTCTGGCTGAGTGGCAGCTTGGGAGGTGGAGACAGTAACGGAAGTGTGCTCAGGGACAAGCACTCTAGAACATGTGAGACAGCAGGAGAGGAGATCCTTCTGCATTATTGAGGGGAGACGTCAACAGAGTACTAGGGCACAGTAGATCCTCCTTTCTGCTCATTTCATCCTAAACTGGCTGCTGCCCTCTTGCCCACTCAGACCCTTTGTTTCCCCTTTGAGGGGGACATTACCTTTGGACCCTATCAGTGATCCAAGCAGAAGGTAGTCCCCTGGCTAATGAATGTTTTCCCAGAGCCACTGCCCAGTTTCAGCCTGCAAGGGCTCCTGTCCTGGGAGTTCATCTCTACCCAAGACTAACAGAGAAGGATTCCCATTTCCAACTCCACACATAGGCACAGGAACTAGGGGTGTAAGTGGAGCTGCAGCACCCTGAGGTGCCAGCCACTGTTGGCCCCACGCCCCTGGGGTGGTGGCTGCTGCTGACCTGCGTGCTTTAGCTTTGCACCTGGCTTCAGTTGGGGTGGGGAGTGGATGGAGGGAAAGGGGCTGGATTCCCATCCCTGTGGATTCCCATTTCCAACTCCACACATAGGCACAGGAACTAGGGGTGTAAGTGGAGCTGCAGCACCCTGAGGTGCCAGCCACTGTTGGCCCCACGCCCCTGGGGTGGTGGCTGCTGCTGACCTGCGTGCTTTAGCTTTGCACCTGGCTTCAGTTGGGGTGGGGAGTGGATGGAGGGAAAGGGGCTGGATTCCCATCCCTGT